TGTGTGTGTGCGTGCGTGCGTGCGTGCGTGCGTGTAGGGGGGGAAACATATCGGCCTTTGATATTTCTGGCAGTCTTAGGTATGCCTATGCGGTTGCGTGCGGGGCACATCATGCACGAGTTTGTGTGTGATGTGTCAAAAGGCGGACATGTTGATTTAATGGCGTGCAATGGGAGCCTGAGCGATGTGAGTCACAGGTGTGTGGCGGTTACTCCGGGCGGGTTCAGGAGCAATGTTTAATTCCTATAAAGATAGTTGTCAACACTTGCTCGAAGCAGCTGTGTACCTTAGTGGCTGCTTGGCATTTGCTTCTCTGCCTGACTCACCGAGCGGATAGAAAGACACGCGTTGGCCTTCCTAGCCGTGTGCGGTGTACTCGCTCCTTCTCTGCATTTCTCTGCAGAGGTTTTCTCTAATGGGGGTAAAAAAGGGCGAAAGACCACGTATTTCAACACGCAAATAAAATCAAACGCCGACCCCCTTCCGTCTTGGCAGCGCAGGACACTTTCACAGGGCTTCAGGAAACATTTACAGCTTATTGGAAACATTCGAGATGAACAGCAGATGTGCCTGAGATTTTGGCACCGTTCAACATGTTCACCCCGACCCCAACTGCCACGGCCCCTCCTCACCTTTCTGCTGCTGCTCCCTCGCTGCCCCCCCCCCCCCCATCGATTTAACATCACGTATTCCCTTCCTCCCATCTGTCGAGCCATACCTCCTGTTGCCTCAGAGTTCTGCCCCAGATTCATAGTGGGGGGGAAAACATCCCAGATGAGGGAAACGCACATCTCCCCCTCCCCTAAATGCCATCCTAAATGTTTATTTTTAGATTGGTGATTAAAGGACATAAACACAAACACTTTTTAGCTATGCATGGTTCAGAAATGTTTACTTATAGTTTCTGCACTTATTTGCCTCCGATCTTTTTTCGGTTTTAAACAATGCAGCAATTCGAATTTAAATCCTAAATCCCTAAAATTAGATGCTACTAATAATTAAAATGGTCAAGGTCCAAGGGAACATTTAAATAATCCTGTCCAGCTTTTGCAAGGTTGCTGCTAGTTACGCGTCCTGGCTCCCGGAAGCATCAAAGTCTGAATTTAACACGTTCCAAAACCAGCTGGTTGTGGTCCCTGATAATTCGTTTTAAAGAAAACCCAAGTAATTTCCCTCCGCCTGGGCAGCATTACTGTCCCTGCATATCCTGCGATGACGAGCTGCGGTGTTCATTGCCCTCGATGCAACGCGACCAATACTCTATACTCAACAATGAAAGCTACAGACTTAGACATTCAGCGTGTTTACTAAATGTTGACCTATAAAGTACAGCTTGATTTGTTATTAATCACACTTTAAAATGTTTTTTTTCTTCAGATTGCCCCCAAAAAAGTAAAGCTATAAAAAATACCAAAAGGTATATTGATATTCCTGTGTGGTATATATTCTGTCACACAAATGTTATTCCATTTGTCAAAAAACTTAAACTTTATTGGGAGCCCACTCAAATGACAGCCCGTGGGTCCTGGGTAATGACTACTTTGAAAACCTATCAACATGACTGTATAAGTTTCCCTTTTATTTACGGTCCAGGCTTGGCACTGGATCTCCAGCGGGGGGTGAAGCCGGGGTGACGGTGAGGCTTGAATAAAAATCATGGCCTCAGCTCAGCAGCTCGCCCAGACGTTCGGAGTCGGAGCCCTGATTTGAAAGGACCACAATGGAACCTGATGTACAGTAAACCAACCGGACCCCGCGGGCCTGTCCAGGCGGGGGCCTGAAGCCAGCTGTGTTCCGCTTGAAACGGACCAGAGCTGATGACAGACAGGGGGACCAGACCTGACGAGAACACGAGCTCACATGTTACATGCTGTTTGTTCTGTAGGGGACTCCTGAATGTGTGAGACGCGCAGGGACGCCGCTAGACCGGCAGAATCAACAGAGGGAGAACACTGCTAATATATTCATAAGGAAAGTTATCTTTTGATTTTAGGTGGGTTTTACGTTAAAGGGATTCTGTCTGCTTCATGTCTAGTCTTGAAAATGTCACTTCCCTTCCGGCAAAGGAAGGAGAAGGTAATGAATATGTGTGGAGCCCCCGAGGTAGACAAAGTATAGAGGGAACTACATAAATTTCAGACAGTGACATAGAGGGATGGATGAAAACAGAAGGAGGAAGTCATCGAATTGAGTCTCAGGAAGCTCCGCTCGCGTTGTCCAAAGTGAAAAAAGTCATTCTGGAAAGAGCAAAGCGAAAGCGAGGTCTGTAATAAAATATAAAAGTGAGGATGTGTGTGAGGCTGCGGATGGGTTTTGGTGAGAAAGAAAGAAATCCGGGCACGTGTGAAGATCCAGATGTGTGTCGAGTGGATATAGCTCAAGGCACGTCAGCGACCATAACAGCCCTCATTGATCCTTTGGCCACAAGCGTTTAACCTCGTCAACGGGCGAGAACACCGGACAGCGGGCGCATTAACCAGATAGCACAGGCGGGTGCCTACGACAATAACATCCAGACACGGGAGACGCGATCGGGGCTTGAGGCTGGGACACGCCGGGGAGGGGTGAGGGCGACCGGGGGAGGGTTCAGGTGAGCGCTGGGAGGGGGGCGGGGGGGGAGGGATGTGGCTTAATGTGCGTCCCTTCATGAAGCCCTAGATTCCCAATGTGGTTAGGAACCGGCGCGTCTCGCAGGTTCCCCCACCAGTCCCCCCGGGGACTCGTTTAACTGCTGCGCAAGTGAATTACCTGAACTGTGATACGTGTCTCTGCTCATTACCGACGACTGTGATGTGGTGCTGCGTGAGGAGGACGGGGGGGGACCTCTGACATTGCACACGTGCACTCGTCCACTCAACATGCACACACATACAGCACAGTAGCTTCAATGTACAGTGTGTGTCTGTGTGTGTGTTCCTTGTGGCGTTTGCCGCTCACAGCACACAGCTTGATGTGTGCCGTTTTCTCTTCTCAGTGTAGATGTCCAATAATTAGCCTACATCATTTGCGCTTTATTTTCAAGGACGTCTGATAACAAAGAGTCTCTGAGGGAAATGTGTGTGTGTGTGTGTGTGTGTGTCTTGGTGTGTGCGCGTGTTTGTGCCTCTGCAAAAGTGACGCAGAGCGAGAGTGGCGGCGAGCAGAGCGCTCGGTGCGTGTTTGTGCTCGCTGTGAATAGGTTCCAGATAGTGCAGCTGATGGTTATCTTTCGGAGAGCGCTCTATTGATTTGGCTGGGGTAAATAATTGGTTGGGTCTACAAGCTGTCATGTTCGGCCTGATTGCTGAGCATCGGTGGTCTCCAGCAGTTATCTTCCTCCATATCCCTCTTTGATCCTTCTCCAGCCTCCGTAGTCCATATCTACTTTTATTGATTAAGACCCTATATGACCATTTTCCATTCTTCAATTAGGGCAATAATCCTTGTCCCCAAGCAGTGTGTTACGAGGTATCGGACCTGCACTTCTTGTCCTGCTGGAGGGGGGCGGGGGGGAGGAGTAGAATGAGGACATTCGGAGGGGTCGGGCGTGTTACAGGCCTGCATGGTCTGCCCTACTTTTCCTTGGCAGTAGACTACATTAGCAGGCTACAACAAAGTGAGGTGCAGGTGTCGGGGCGCACTGGGAGTAACGTGGGGGCATGTTTCATTTCAACGAACTAAAACCAAGAAAGAAATGAATTTAAAAGGTGAACTATTTAAAACATTAAACTGCTGAAACCCGTTTGAAAAGGTAATGGGTTTTTACTAAAATGTAGTAAAGCATTTGCCTGCTGTCTCTGTGGTCCTCACCCTCTCCGTTGGGACTGGGGGGGGCGGTTTGGTGTCAGGTTCGCGGGGCCCTGGCCCACATGGTGCCGCCTCCCACAGGGTCACTGAGCCGAGGCAATGAGAAGACCATTAGCGCCCCCGCTTGAGTGGCTTTGGGAACTACAACCACCATGCGAGCCAAAGAACAAGGAGGGTTTATTATCCAGGGGAAGACACAAAGCCCTCTTCTTTAATGTATGGAGAAATGCCCCATTTACTGCAACTGCTGGATTTATTTTTTAGAAACTCTAGCAGGCCCAACATGGCATGCACATAAACCATGGCAAACTCCAAGGGAACATATTTAATTATGGTTTCGTAAAGCATAAAGCATGATGGCTGCATAACCAAGTAGGATACAGATACAACTGTCTCTGGGGGACATATGCGTAGATGTTCTCCAGTGGTTAGCTTCGCTCATGGATTATACATAAATAAAGATAGTTTAGCTGGAATATGTATCATAACAGCAGTAAAATGAGGTCCCGTTGCATTCAGCTGGGAAAACAGAAGGAGACTTTTTCACAGTACGACACTTTTAAACCGCACAACTCCCTCTCAACATTCCTTCATTTGTCACAAGCCGCTCCGACTCCTGGAAGTTTCTTCTCCCCGGTGCTGCGAGCTACCAGGTCTGAACCCCGGCGCCGCTTCCTGTGGACAAAGACGAAATGAGAGGGGCGCACTTGAATGAATTAAACGGTAAACTTGAACCAAGTTCATTTCCCGTCTTTGCCTTTTGCGCCCGGAGGTCCCGGGGAATCATAACAGAGCGGGTCGAAGCAGACAGCCGCTTCCCGTCACTCCTCTTGTCAGCGCCTCGGAAAAGTCTCTCAAAGAAGAGCCCCTGGGTGCTTTGTAGGGATTGGAAGATGGAGAAACACACTCACTAAAAACACAATAAAAAAAAGCTCCTTTTAAAAAACAGTCAAGTGTCACACACTGGTTTTCCAGCACCGGGTGGAATAATGTTGCAGAGTGGGGAGGAATTTACTAAATCACGTTTACAGCTGTGGCCCTGTAAGAGGAGGAGGGCTGCTGTTTGCATACGTAGTGCTGGTTTTAGAGGGAACCCTTGGTACACTGTTTGAAATCAGTCAGTGTGTGTAATGAATAGAGCTTTATTAGTATTATAAATGAGAGGAACGCAGGCTTCTCATTGTCAGACACCATTTATTTGACTTACTGCCTCCATGCAGCCCAGGCTTCCTGTCTACATCCTGATTTCAATGCCAGGCCTTCTGGTCCCGCCGCCCCCTCCTCTGGGTGACCCCAGCTGGTCTCTCGGTCTTGCACCTGAACCGGGCCCTCCGCTCCGCTTCCAGCTCCGCCAACCCCGTGCTTCTGGCCTCCTCGCTCCGAGCGTTGGCCGGTGATCGTGCTGGCACCATTTCCAGCCAACTCCTCTAGACCTCCTCAAGACCCCGTCCCCAGCCAAGGACGGCGCCCGAGCCGCGGAGCTCCTTTCCGGGGCGTTGAAGTGCTCCACCCCGGCCAACAGAACCAGCTTTGTCCTGCACCTGAAGCAGCTCCACGGCCGGGTCCAGGCCGGGCTCGGGGGCGCTGGAGGCTGCTTCTTCAGTGGGTTGAAGTAAAGGCCTTGGCTGGAGCTCTGATGCTGCTCAACGTCAACATTCATCTACTCCTCGGCCTTTGGTCTCAAACTGTCCCCACCGTGATGCTAGATGATGCAGCTGACAGCCAGCTGGGTATTGCCCTCATAGACCCGGGCGTGGAGACGTGAGACGCCAGCCGGCGCTGGACCGAGTGCGGCGTATCGATGTTGTTTGCTGCATTGGCTGAGAAGTCATAGAATATTGATATGGCATAAACACGTAGCGGGAGGCCATACTCGCCAATATGCCCGCTGCAGCGCGTGCCAGCACGCGTGCGCGCATGCGGTGGACTCCAGCTGGTGAGCACAGCAGATAAAGGATGATTCCAGGGTCGATCACTGAGAGCATATTCATCTTCCATCGGGGGGGATGATGTGTCATCTTAAATAATTGAGTAACAAGTGTCCAGACTCTCTCCCTCAGTGTCGTGCCTAACATCTGTGCTTGGAGCGCTCCAGGACTGCGGCGCCACAGCCTGACTCACATCAGCTCTTTGTGACGGGCCGCAGGGGGGGGGCATGTTGATGTTTTGGCACCATTGCAGTCAGTTTAAAAGATTTTATCTGAAGTTACCTTTTGTAAAAAGTCCAATTTAAGAGTTGGTATATTGTAACTTTTCAGACTCAGGACCGATAGATTTTAGCTCGTCGTGACAAGAAATGGCAAACAGCTTATTTCCCATTTTCATTGACGGTTTTCAAGAATGTAATCTACCATGTAGCACTGCCGGCATCCGCGCGCCTCCTCACTTTTGTTTTGTCTCCACAAAAGATGATGATGTGTTAAATATATCCCTCCGTTTGTCCCTGTTTTTGGGTGCTTTTGTCTTATCGTTTTATCCCGCGTCTAATCTACCCCCGTCTCCTCCCCCTCCCACATGTCTCCCGTTCACATCCTTATCCGCCTCCATCTGCCTCTCGTCCCTCTGTTTCCTCCTGCAGGTATTCTTTTTATTGGATGCAAAGACGGCTGAAGTGAAAACATTGTGCCAACAGATAGACGGCTCTTTGAAAATAACATTTCCTGACAGACTTATATACATTGATAAGCAATTTAATTAATTTTTCTTTGTTTGATGTTTTGACTTCATTACGGAATTAGTTTTTTCTCTGAACCGATCCTCGTTGGTCGCTTCATTAATTTTATGGAGGAAATGCACAAATTAGATTACACAGCAGATTGCAGAACACAAATTACATTAGGTAAAATTGGCTTCTTTCCGTTTTGATACATAATTCACTGCTCCTTGGGCAATTGTGTTTTTAGAGATGGTCCTGGAATTTCTGATGGCACTGAACAGGCATCTGCTTCCTCGCCCGCGTGTGTTTGTTTCCCTTTGCTTCCCTTTAGTTAATTATTGAAGGGGAGAATTATGAAAAGCCTCTTTGCTGGGCCTCCTTCCCTGGGCTGTACACCGCGTTTAAAGAAAAGGGAAGGTCAGGGGCAATTAGTAGCAGGACATGTTCATAAGGGAGAGAAGAGGAGGGCAGCAGAGGAGCGATGTCTGTGTGGGATGCGGGCGAAGGAGCAAAGAAAGAAAAGCGTGAAAACTGCGAAAAAGTAGAGAAAAGAGCGAAAGAGATTGACAGAACGGAGGCCGTTCCTTGGGAGTTGCAGTCCACGCTATAGTTAATTAATTCAGGCTTTGTTCCTGTTTTAGACAAACACTGGAGACAGAAGCAGAACAATTTGATTGACTGTTTATTGTCGATGGATTTTAATGGATTCTGGTCCTGGACGATCCACCGGCTTTGGTGTCATAAAAAAGACGACTTCCTGGATACCACTTGAACACGTGTGCACAATGCTACGCAGCGAGTGGCTCCTCGTCGTGACGTTGTTTCTACAACGCGGCTGCCACTTCAGGTGATCCCCAGCCGGTTGTTTTTGAATTCCAGCGCGATCGTATTTCACCCCTCGGATCGTTCCGGGAAGCGGCGCGAATGGCGGGCGCTCGCCAGGAGGGGAGAAAGGCACTGCCGCTCCGCTGGGACCTGTTCGATGTTGGAGTCCACCGCAGGCTGGCAAGGATTGGCATTAGAGAGGTTAAGCTCTTTACTCCAATCTACTGTTTTATGTCCTTTAAAATGGAGTATTTTGAATTGTCTGGGGCTAAACAACAGTTTGAAAAAATATATATATTTTCTGACATTTTATTTTTCATTGCTGTTATTTAACACTTTCGTGTTATTTTGTAGCTTTCCTGTGGTGTCCCACGTGAATTCAAACCCCAATGTTCCCATTTGCCGTTGGCCCGCGCCAGGTTGGGCGCAGCAGCCGAGCGTTTGTGGCCACGCTAGTTTGGACCTGGTGGTCACACACTAACCCGAGCTAACTAACGGGTTAAGTGGAGCTAACTTTGACCCGGCCTGGGCGAGCATTCGCGTGTTTCGTAACCTCATTGACTAGCCTCCTTTGTTGACTCGTGACCCTGAAGAGGTCGACCTCCAACGACTGATCAATTATGGAGAGAGAACAGAACGGCCCGCACACTTTGTCCAATGCAATTATTTGACAATAAAGTCGATCAGTTGGTCTCTGCACTCTCATCAGGGCAGATGAGAAATTTCACGTCGTTAGCCTCCTTGCACCTCTTCGTATCGCTTGGGGATCGATACGAAATGAAAATTCCTGTTAATTCCCGGCGCAACACTCATCCAACAAAGAGTGACACGAGTACAAGTCATAATGTGTCGACCTCCTCGCCTCAGCCAGCGTCCCCTGCACAACGGACGGGGCCGGCGGCTTTGTCAGCGTGTGGCAAGGTTATTACAAGACTCTCAGCCCCTCTTGAAATGACAGCTGTCAGGGGGTTAGTGGGGCCAAGTGGGAAGGTGTGGACAGTGAATGGGCCTCATAACTGCCTCAGCGCAGCACTCAGAGGAGTGGATACTTTTTAATGGGCGGTAGAGCGTTCGCTGTGCGGGTGGGCGCCCCCGTGTACGAGGTCTGCGTGTTTTTCATGAACCCGGCCAGTCTTTAACTCATCCTTCCGCATCTTCTCGTGGTCCCTCCGCGTCGGCCATTGAACGCGGGTCGCTATGCTCTGTGTTCGACCAGCTCTGTGGGAGGGAGAGTTCAGCGAGGATGGCGCAGAACGCCGCACCTTTTTGTGGAAGAAATACACCAAAGTGAAGACGATGCGCCGAGTAGGTAAAAAAGAAAAAGGACGAAAAGAAAAGCCTGTCGCCGCTCTCCTCCTGCCAGCAAACAAATGCAGCAAAAAGCATTTTTTAGTCCTGAAACGGTTTGCACATCTGTAAGGTCCAATCTGCTTCTCTCCTCTTTATCACCACGGGCTTCATGATTTATTTAAAGCGATTTTCATATTTTATGTATTGTCTTAAAACAACAACAAGGCAGAGTGGATTTCTGCTACGACAGCAGTCAACAACAACAAGAGACACGGGATGAGACTCTATGATATTCAATGTAACATCAGAAAGTCCTTTTTCAGTTCTTATAAAGATTATCTCAGTGATTCGTTGTCATGTCCTCTAAAGTTTTACTTACGCTGCTTTTGAAATGTTAAATTTTTAGGCAAGTGAAGTGAATGCGGTGTCAACTGAGCAGCTATGGCAAATCCTGTCTCTTCACCTCCTCCAGGTTTGTGCCGCCACTACAAGGGCAACACGGTGCAGCTTCTGGAGCAGCCTCTCTGTGAGTGCAAGGCCTGCGTGCTGCAGAACCTGGCGTGGTTGGAGAAGACCAATGAGACCAGCGCGTCCATCTCTCTGCCTGAGGTGAAGGGGTGAAGTGTAATAAACAACTGCGGATCAACGCTGTAGTCTGTTGAAAATGCGTTTTCTCTGTTATTCAAAGTAAGTAAGCTGCTCATCTTCTCTTCTCCAGGCCTTTTCTTTATTTATTGCCATTTTGAATTGTTAATTCCCGGTGAAGTTACTGGGGACTGATCTCATTTTATATGATAAAACTCCAAATAGCATGCCTTTAAAATATATCTATTAAAGTCATCGGCCGATTCATCAACATCTTCACGAAGCCTTCTCAACAAGAAAAGGGCTCCTGTTGAAACTGGAGGTGCGTTTAAACTTTTAGTTTTTTTGTTGGTGTGATTTTAGTGGCGCTTGCATAAAGATATCTTGTCTCCAGACGGAATGAAGTTGACCTCTTTGCTTCTTCATAAATCACAACGTAATCTCTTTGTTTCCCCATCTTTTGAGACTCGTGCGGTTCAACCTAATCCATCACGGCCGTCTCCCCCTGCAGGCTGTGACGTGCCGACCGCTCCGTCGTGTCTGGATCAAAGATGTGGCTGATGTCTTCTTCCCCCCCTTGATGGAAAAGATGCGATCGGAGGAGCGTCTTTTACGTCGCTCACTTCACAATGTTGACCTATTCCAATATTTTTAATGCGGCCACGTCATGAAGCGAGGTACACCCTCTGGGTTTGTGGTTACACAGACACACACACGCGCGCTATAGCCGCCCCCCTCCCTATAGTGTGTGTACGGCTGCAGCGCTGCCGCGGACAGAATTTCCCCCGAGGGCTTTTCTCAGCTCGGGCAAACACTTGGAAGTGAGTGTGAACAGCCAGGTGCGGCGTCCCCATCAGGTGCAGTCCATTGTGAATTGGCCTCATTTTCAAACTCACCCCTCATGCCCCGGCAGCGGGCTCTGTTTTCCTTTACAGGGATCCCTTTGTCTTTCCAATCCGTGTTCCATGCTCGCGTATTGGACGCAGTGGGCCGGGGCGGCGTGCTCATGCGGCGCGTGGCTTCTCCGCTCTTTAGTACCGCGGTGGAATTTGACCGCCCCGTTTGTAAGTTCTTTATTTCCTGTTTCCACACAGTGCTTCATTCATCACCTCGCCTGATACTGTTGCCCATATCTCCCAAGAATCCCTGTCATCATTCTCATTGTTTCTTTGTTTGGTCCCCCGCACTCTTATCTCTGCTCCCTTTCTCTTCCCCTTCAAAACTATTTTTATTTCCTCTATTCATATGTCGTCGCTCTTCCCCATCACCTTGCTCTGTCGCCTCCTCTCTCTCTTCTGTCCTTGTGCCTTCCTGCTCTACCTCCATGTGTTGCAGTGTTTCTCACGGATCACTTCTCCCTCTTCCTCATCCCGCTCCATGCGTTCTTCCCTTGTGTCGCCTCGCCTACTTTTCCATCTTCCTCTTTTTGAGCTCTGAGTAACTGAGGCAGTGGCCGGATTGGTCCTTTTCTGGTTAATCACAGTTCAACGAGTTCAATGTTCCTTCCCAAGCTCGTCTCTCTCTCTCCTCCTCTGGGTGATGGGCATCTAGCTGCACACTAAATATGGAGGCAAAAGGCGCGGGGGGGGGGGGGGGGGGGGGGGGGGGGCCCTTATGGGCCCCGGCAGCCCCTTTTGGGAGGAGCACAAAGTCTAGCGCCACCCCCCCCGGGACCCCCCCAATTGGTTTGTTGTGGTGTCCCCCCGGGGGGGGGGGGCGGGAACAGGGCTGCCCCCAGGACCCGCGGCAAAAGGGGAGCACCCTGGGGGGCATTGGGAGGGAAAAGGGCGGAAAAAATTCAACCGGGGTTAAAAAACCCTTTTTGCCCGGCCCCCGGGGCCCATGCATGGGGGGGGGGCCAAAAAAAATTTTTCAAATTACCAAGGGCTCCCCCCCTTTAAAGACCCCCCGGTTCTTTTTTAGTCCACACTAAATTTTCCGGCCTGAAGAAAGTTAGTTACAGTCGTAGCTCCGCGGGTTCACTCGTTTCATTTGCTGTTGCCGATACAAGATAAATGTCTCAATCAAAGTGTCTTTGTGTGGGATACACTTGATTTTTTCGCAAGCAACGTGACGCAAATTCTGTCACGCTGTCTGAACCACCGAATCATGTTTTTCCTTTCGACAATGATCTCTGGCTGTGACTGCAAAACCCCGGCTCGCAGAGATCGCACAAACCCGACCGTTAAACTCTGGTCCATTGTCACGCTTTGTAATGCAAACGAATGACTGCAGGCCTGAACTTCCATGGGCAACGTTCACCTTTTGGAATGAAAAGGTCTTGAGAATGTGAAGCTGCTGCGTGGAGGTTTAGTAATGTGTTCTTTGTTATTAGAAAAGCGTGGAGAGAAGATTGAGTTTGCTCCTCTACTTTCATATGCAGGCACGTCATAAGTTAAGCCGTATCGGGCCTAAAGAAAATGCCGGATTGTTGTGTATATGTACTTATATATACACAACAATCTGGCGTTTTTAAGGTTTTATATGTTCAAAGTGCATGGATGCGACATCCCCTCAGATCCAATAGCTTAGAGCGATTTTACTCCTGTTTTCATCTTGTCGTTGCATTTGCATGCAATCACACCTGTTCTAAAAAAAATGTAAATCAGGCTCCTTTGGAATCCGACAATTTGTGGATGAATGAGAAAGACATCGTATGTGAGAGAGGTTAGGCAAACCTGACAGATACAGAGGAAAAGTCAGTGAAACCCATTTCCTCGGGGCGAGCCTGAACGGCCCATCACCACGTCTTCAGTAAACGTATCGTTTAACCGCATCAGGAACTGATGAAATCCACTTTGGCATCTCTGTAGTTTAACAAACATCTACAAAGAGTTGTTCTGCTATGTTATTCTGCTAGCCTCGCCCCGAAGAACAAGCTTTTGACATTAACATGGTCGGGACACTCCGGGGACGGGGCTGTAATCCAGAACTAAAGCTTGAAACAACTCCTCCCGACACGACTCGGCTTTGCCAGAAAAGAGCATAACTCCTCTTTTGTCTCTGTTCGCCAGACAGAAGGGACGGAAAAAAACGAAGGTACTCTTGCAAACAAACTCAGAGTAGCTTCGCTCCCATTATGTAATCTAATTATGGAGAATCACTTGAATGTTTTGGCCTCGTTGAGAGTCGTCTGCCTCCGTTAGCTCTCTGCAGGGAAAAAAAAGAGGGTCGTTTGAGGAACGATTGTGATCAAACCGTCAACCTACTCCAATCCCATTTCATCCGTCCGTCCGAACCCCCTCTGGCCCGGCGCCGGGCCGTCATCCCTTCTCTCATAATAGTTTTCCCAATCGGGTCGGGCAAATAATTGCTCATCACGGCGCGCTAATTCTGTTTACCCCTCGGTCCATCGGTGCTTGGGAGAGCCGTGGACTTTGGAGATTAGAGGGCGGCACGGAGACAACAGGAGATCGGATCGGAGCAGTGTGTGTAATGTCAACCCTGACGCCAGTCTGCTCCGTGCGAGGCAAATGAGCACAAACCATATCACGCAGCTGTGGGTCACGTTGCAAGGATACGCCACATCCGAACGCAGCCTCACCCCTGTGCCAGGGATCTAATTCCTTTTTCCAGCTCTCACATGTGACCGTAATATCAGTCGGCGGCCACACGTTGACTCCGCTGACCTAAATAGGAGTGCCATTCGGCTGCCAAGTGAGCAGAAGAGGTGGAGGGAGGAGGGGGGGCGGGGTCAATGATTGCTTGGGGACAAGGTGGAAAACGTGAGCTATAAATAGCGGTGGGATTCAGCCTTTTTTTTTTTTTTTGCGCTCTCCTGGTGAAGGGCAGACTGTGTCTGAGTCTGTAGTTTTGAGACGGAGAACCCTCTTAACAAGCCCGGCCCCCGAGGTCACGGATAAACCACCTTCATCCCCCCCACCCTGCCTCTGGTCCGGTGCTGACCAGGCCACACGCGCGTACACACTAATGGTTCCGCTCCCACCTGCATCTCCAGTCAGTGACTAAGACACACGACTGTGCAGCGGAGAGCTCACTCAATCACGGATAATGAGGTCAAAAGGCCATCAAATATTTACCGGGGCGCACTGCGCGGTATACGGTGTGGAGGGGCGGCTGGTCTATCGCGGGCTACCACAGCGCCGCCTCGTACTTATTCATCAGATGTTTTTCATGGCTGTTAGTTACACGTCTCACTAATAGCCGAGGCTTCTTTTATCCTTCTGCACTCATGGCGAGACGGCCTTGTGGGGCACAAAGAGGTTCTGTGCATCTGAAGTGAATGGAGCGGAGAGCACATTGACTGTACAAAAGTGGTAGAGGCCCATGTAAAGAAGATACCAATAGCGGTGATGCTGATGAGACTCAATAAAGAGCTGGGGCGGCTTTGAAGCCTCGAAAGAGCCGACGCGAAGAGGTTCTTTTTTTTTTTTTCCTTCTTCTTTAAAGCCTGCATCAAATGTTTCGGGTGAAAGCCTTGATGATGCCGGCGCCACACACTGCGTACCTGAAAGCACCCACGCAGAGTGTTGTGGGGAGCGCGAGATGACGCAGAGCGTGCCTGCTGCCGGTTTACGGCCCGAAGCAAGTCGCTTGGCGCTGGTGATCGGACAGCCGGAGGGAGCCGGAGGTGTTAACTGTGCAGGGGCCGTGGAGCTTTTACCTCTGTGGTTTACTGCTGCTGGACTGATCCTGGGGCCCGATGTTTGCATCACAATTAGCTGGACTAGGGGATAAAATGACCCACTTAGGAAAAAGCATTCTAATCGATTTCGCTGGTATTTACAATAGTTTATTGGAAGATTTCGTGCACTATTGGAAATCATGATACGTATTATGGTTTTACTATTTTCTAACATTTAATAGACCAAATTATGAATCTGGAATATGTTCCATAATGAAATGTTTTTGCCTGGATATCCGCTGCTACTCCAGAATCACTAGAAATAAGGCTGCTTTCAAAGATCAGATATTCCGTTGTCCTCCTCACTTAGCTGTGGTACACACTCCTATTAGTGTGTAGTCTTTGCTGGGTTTTACTCCTCTTAAAGTCCTCCAGCCGTCCGTCGTCATTTAACATCGGCTTGCAGTGACTCGTCGCCGATGGAGTTGTCCCGGCTGCCACAACCTGTCCCCTTAAAACCCCCACAGGCTACTTTACGGGCTCAACAATCGAGCTGAACTAATGTGACGGGGAGTACTGCACGCTGAGTGCTCGACGCCATGCTACCTCCCGCCCCGGTTAGGCTGCCCCGCTGCAGGCCAAGTAAACGCTACGCACACACACACACACACGGAGGAAACCACCAGCTGACAATGCCTGTGGCTCTCGCTAGCAGACAAGTAGCTCATTGATGCCGTGTGCGGGGAATCAGCAGTCTGCCCAGCGCGGTTGCATCTAAGATTCATGTGGGGCCTCGGAGAGAAAAGGGCAGCCATAGAGCACCTCCCAGAGGTTATCTCTCCCCCCCGTACAATGCAGAGCCACACAAGGCATCCTTAGGCTCCTCTCTTCTGTTTCCCGTGGGCTGCCGGGGGGGCTCCGTTCGCTTTTTTTCAACTTCAAAAAGAATGAAGCGATTGCTTTTGCCCCGACAAGCCCAGTGAGAGAGTCAAAGAGGAGGCTGGGTCATGAGGGGGGTCGGTTTTTACTATTCATAGGCTTGATAGTGGAAAGAGGATCAACACTCTGAGGAGTCCACCACTGCAAGTCTACTTCCGTTTCTTTGTTAGGTAGGGGGCGGAAAACCTTGAGATGATTGCAGATCGAGAAGTCGAACGAGCGGTGTACACCGGGCCGCCCTGTCGAGGAGGGAGAAGGATGAGACGCGGAGAAAAAAAGGCAGAGTTGGGAGCAAAGAGAGTGGGAGAAAATCGAGGAAGGCGGGGCGGATGAGGGATGGGGACGCCAGGCGAGTGGCAGAGCAGCGGAGGCCGACAGTGATGTAGTGGTAGCGTGAGGAAGAAGAGAGGGAAAGTGGAGGAATAATGGATGAGGACAATAGAAGTGCATTAGAGCAGGAGGAGTGTGGCGGCGCGGAGGGGTTGCTTGGCGGGAAAACACCAGAACGGGACGGGCAGAGGCCTACAACTGCAAACACATCTGCCTATTTCACACGTTAGGCATGGGGGAGACGTGGACCGATCCGACGCCCTCTTGCATCCACATCTCGACTTTTAAGCGTAAAAGCAGGCGTTCTACGTGGATTATTACAGTTGCTCATTAGCATGCGGTTTGCAGCACTGAGCGGCATTGTGCTGCGGTTGTGAAAAGAAGGGTGAAGGCAGCACCCATGGGGTATTTTTAAATTTACCCAGACAACTCATCCGAATGATTTACTGCCCCTTGCCCGCCAGTGGAAGATATTTCCAATGAAGTTTAATCAGCAGAAGTTTGAACAATCCTCGCCAAACCAAGATCCTCACCAACCCCACTGCAACCCCCCCCCCCTCCCTCCCCCCGGCACATCCACAAACAAGTCCACACAGTCGCGTGCTCACGCCCACACATGCTCTCATCTGGCCCCTGGAGAAGCCTGTCACTGTGAGTGGGCCCTCTGCCACCGGAGGATAAACTACCTGTCATGGCGACGACTTTCTGTGGAATTCATATCAGAGCCAAAACAAAGGGAGGTGCCGAGGTCACGGGGCATCACTCTTAAATTATTCATCCTCTGCTTCCTCCTTCCGTCGCCCCTCTGCCTGTCGCCCACTTTGTTCTGCCAGCTCACAACAAGGGCAGCTGCCAGCCTCACGCCGCTCCGCCTCTTTGGGATGGAACGTAAATATACGTTATGGTGAGTAACTCCTTACAGTTCCCAACGGACTGTTTTGAAGGGTATGTTAATGTTTAGGTAAATCATCTGGGGAGGTTTCATGGAGGGGCGGTGCGTTTTCCGGTGCTTTCTCGAGGGTCACGGCGTCATGAAATTTTAAAATGTGCATTCCCTCCCTCTCGTCTCGCCGCGTGCATAATTCATCAGTGGAAAAGTTGCCCACTCTGGGCTTGACCATCGCCTGGGAACAAAAGGTCGAGACAGACTTCTCTGGGGTGTCGGACCACAGCGAGCGGAAGCTGCCATTGGGCTTCCCTGCAGCTGGCCGCTCGGGCCGGGCGAGGAGGCGCAGATCTGGAGGAGGAGAATGACTCTATACTCTCCTGAGCACTGAGCGTCACTGTGACGCTGATCACCCCTTCGTCATCTTACTCGGGGCAGCGCTTCAGGAGCCCTGCTGCTCTGGACCACGCGGAGGGCGAGGCCCTGAACGGTGGCCCACAGAACCTCTTTCTTCCTGCCTCTTTTTCCGTTTCTTACGCTCTACCTCTCAAGGACTTCACGCTGGTTTTCCATGTAGAGACATTGTCATTCACCTTGGCACACTGCCAACATCACACGACGGCTGGCTGCCACACATTGACACCGAACAGTCTCCCGATGACTGACACTGACACCGCCGTACCTGACACCCGCACATATCGACACCTACACGGCATACATGACAACACCGCGCAAGACGTTACCAACGGCAATGGACACAGCGACTGAAAAAAGAAATCGTCTCTCCCGCGCACATTCAAGGCCTCACTGACCAAACGGAATGACACGGATGCAGTGACAGACACCAACATGCTGACAGAAAGGAGCGTCCGCAGTCACCAAAGAGAAAGGTTAACGAATAGAGGCTGGCCCTGACACTTGAATCCTCCCTGTCAGGCTAACACCGTGTGTGTGTGTGTGTGTGTGTGTGTGTGTGTGTGTGCGCGTGCGCGTGCGTGCGTGACCTTACGAATTAAGGTTGCCCGTCAACGCCTCTCGGAGCCAGCGGAGACCAAGGCGGGGTCCCCAGGGCTACATCAGAGGGAGACTGATGGAACAGCCAAGTGCTTATTGATGAGCCAGCTTAATGCTAATGGCCGTAATGAGTCAGAACGCTTGTCAACAAGGAACCAGAGGACGGGGAACCTTATAATCTTTTAATACCATTGGGAATCAATGATGCAGTTCTGCACGCTGGAAACCAACACGTGACTGACATCGCTCAACTTAAATGAAACAACTTAATGTAGAGGGTGATTACAGCAAGTCAAAGACGTATTGATTTTTATCTATTTGTTGTAATTCCTGAGGGGGTTGTGGTATGTGAATAAACTAAAGCAGCTTCTGCTGTTTTGATACTTGACAGGGTGCATTTAAGAAAAATGAATACATTTTCCCGACCAACTAATCAATCCTCATAAGATGTACTTGGTGGACATTGAGCTTCAAGGAGGAATGAAAGCCGATGTAACCGACATCTGCTATTGATTTTTTCTTAAGGGCAGCCTAGAAAGTGCAGCAACGACTTCTAGACCCCGACCTGAAGCCTCCAGCAAACAAAGGTACGACATCTTTCTTCCTTCTCATGTGTATTGACCTTGTACTGGAAATACTGCTGCTACATGTGTGTCGGAGCTTGCGCACTAACCTTAACCCAAACACTGTTTACCAGGAGAAGAAGTTTATTTCCTGAGTGAAAATGTCTGCTGCATCTGTTCTGCTATAAGTAACAGTGTCTACAGATACAGATGGCTCCTCTGATGCACAGCATCTAGCAAATCTGCTCCTGTAATGGTTCTGCTATTCCAGCCTTGTTCCTAATTTAGCCCTCTGCACAGGTCTGCTCAGCAACAATAGGTGTCGGGCATGCACACACACACACACACACGCGTGTGTGTGTGTGTTTGCGTGCGGGTAAAGCCACAACAATGAGCTCTGCAGTGGCCTTCTGTGCAGTGGAGACCGGTAAAGGCCGGCGTGGTGCAGGTCCACTCCTGGCTGAGTGAGAACGGGAGTCCGGTTTGGACGAGCCGGTTGTGGATTCGAGGACGGCTGCTGTGAGCACATCAGCTCATCCCAACAAGCAGCTCCCAGCTGACTCACCTTCACTTCAGAACACTGACAAACACACACACACGTCCCCCTCCGCCCATATAGGTTGGCTTAATATTCCATTGTAATAATCCAAATTTATTTTACCACCTAATTTTTTTTAAGTGCTTTTCAATGTTTGCCGTATAGGGTGAACTGCGTGACAGCTGTCTATTCAGGGCTTGTATTATCCCAACTAAAGTGATTTAAAGCTGTGGGGTGAGTAGTTAGTCACACACAGGCTCACTAAATAGATTTCTTAATTGGCCACTTGTCGTAAAACGTATACTTTTCATGCACTATATTTCCATCTAAACGATGCCGCTGTGCCACACTTTGCCCAATAACATTTTTTTTTCTCGGGATTACAGCAATAAATAGAAGGTTAACGTCAAAGTAACACAAAACATTCTTAAACCGAAGTGATTTGTGCTCAACTCTGGTTGTGCTCTACTGGTTTTAAGATTATTATTATTATTATTATATGTAATATATATTATTTATATATATATTCACACACACACAAGAATGAAATGCAGTTCTTGACTCCCTGTGTGCGCGTCACTCTCTCTCCAGCGTGTCCGGGATCACTTTCTGCACAACATGATAAAAGTGGGACAACGAGCTCCCAGTTGTTCCCGATGCTTTGCAAAGATGGTGAAACCACGGAAGAGCACTCAGAGCCGAGTCCTCCCAGCAGCCTTCAGTCCTCCCCCGCTAGAGGAACGCGGAGGAGCGCCTCGGCTCAACGGGGTCAACCGGCTGATAGAAACACTACAGGGGACCCCTCCATTTTCGCCTTGCCATTGTTAAAAGCTTGAGGCGTTTGGGGGAAAATAAGTGACACGTGGAACACAGCGCTGTTTGGTAGTTGCGCTCAGCCGGAGGGACACACAGCCTGCTGCAACGGAGGAATTTCTGATGTTCGCTCTAAAACCCACAAGGCGATAGGGAGATAAGTTTTGATTGCGCATGCACTTTCTCGGCTGTTTGGTTAACAAAATGGCCCCAGACACTAATGAGCCTTAAAAGTGTTTACAAAGAGCTTCAGCAAGAGTTCACAGTATACTCACGAATAAGTGGGACATGCCTCTCTGGTACTGTTGGCAACTCATGGAAAACAGAGGTAATCAAAACAAACTTTTTGTTTGATTCTGTATAAATGTATGTAATTTTAGCAAATATTTATTCATAAGAGATGCCATTATTAAACAGATATTATCCTGAGAACAAAAGAACTAATGTCGAGTGAGATAGAAGCCAAACCTTGGGAAAGGAACGGAAAATATGCCATGTTAGTGCCGGCTGATGACTAAATGAAATAAAATTAAATCCATTTGTCACAAGGTGTAAACATGATGGGGGCTTACTTGGGCCAGATTATATTTGCAATTTTTAAGAGAATGTGCATGTAGTAAATGGGCAAGGAACCGATCTGCCCATCAGAAGCCACTCTGATCAGAAGCCAGCTTTAGTTTTTCAATCATATAGGGCTGGGAATAAAACCACTATTTTTTTTCCTCCTCAAATTTCAGGTTTCAGGTAGATCCAACATTAGAACTAATGGCCGAGTATTTAGTTGATTATAGCGTCCATCTAAACATTTTGAAAGCATACATTTTTGAATGTTGACTAAATAGAAATATATATATATATATATATATATACGAGATATATAGAAATAACCAAACAAAAAATCATTGCTTAATTTATTTGTAGAATAAATAAAACCAAGCAGCTCAGGTAATTGAAAAAACATCCAGCTGTATGTGTGCAGAGTGGTCGTCATCTCACGCCAGCAAAAGCACATTGATAACAAGGAGATGGCGTTCCAGGGTCTGGGCATTTTGCACGCTGCCTCGCTGCCTTTGCTCACTGGAACACTAAATGGGACTGAGCCATCGTTCTCTCAATTAGTTTCACCTCTGGTCTTCCTGTCTCCACGTGCACTTATCGCACCACTATAGGTAAAATACTTTTTCACTCAATGTTTAGTATGCTACTTTCATTTGACATACAGCTAATGTCATATGATGTAGATGGAACAATGCGAACGCTGTTCCAGAAGTTACCAGATACCTTTTTGGTGCCGCATTGCTTTTTTAATTGGGCGGCAGATAACGATACTCCAATTGATGCAATGATGAGGGAGTTAGTTCTGCTTCTCATGGGATTGTCAAAGGTTGACTGGGGCGTCAATACACCTTCTCAATGCATTCCATGAAGAATTTGGCCCCCATACAGTTTTGCACTATGAACTATAACTATAATACTTTAGTATAGGTGTCTGTAGTTAGTTTTAGTATGAGGGCATGTAGCTTTAAACCCGTAATTGTTATGTGGGATCAACAACAAGCTTCAAAGGATGTTTGAGGGCTAAATATCACACGGTAGCTGAGCTCTGACGCTATTGTCTTTCTCAGCAGCAGGTAGTTAATCAGCCTGCAGCAGACTGTCAGCAGCAGCCCATATTAATGTTATTGATCATTGTCAACTTTTATGCTTCTTCCACCTCGGATCACAATGTTGTGGTAGGACGCTTTTTGGCTTTTTTTCCCCCTTCTACCTCGTAAAGGTTTCTTTTTTCATTAGTCTCTTTCTCTTGTTGTGCTCCCCAATAACCTGTCTCCTTTATTGCACACTGTCCTTAGAAAGTGACAACTTGGGGGAACTGAATCAAAGTTTCAATAAAAGCCCGACCGCTGTGGGCTTTGACAAGTGAGGTGGCTGGAGTGGAACGTTACAGAAAAAGTCTGAAGGAGGACGTATCGGTCCCGGGAAGATAAATAGTTCATGAAGCTGTTGACTTCCCCATTTTATTACTTCTGTCTCCAAATTTTCCGGCTGCCTGCAGCTCTTTCTGCCCACAAATTATTCATCTCGCTCCCCACAGGCCCGAGCTGTCAATCTGGTGCTGCTAGGGAGGATGGAAGTTGTAAGTTTGTCATGAGCTCCTCACTGGGATCTTGATAACCCTGTAAAGGGTATTGTGATACCCTACTATCATTTCAGCTTTACTTTGAAAAAGACAAAGCGGTCAGTGAAGACTCTGGAGGGAGACGTGTTTGGCTTTTAACAACTTGTCTCTACTAACTCAGGCGGGTTGGAGAACCCTTGCTGATGGTCCAAAGGAAGTCCGTTCTGCATGATGTGTGGAAAGGATTTGTTTGGTCATAAACATCACTCCCTCAAACCGAATATTGTTTTACACATTTTGTCTTTTTTTGAGGTGATATTGAGGGAGTCTTTAAATCACACAGTCCCGTAATTATCCTGTACCACTCTCCTCTAGTACGTCTGCTTTTGTTGTGATCTGATTACCTCTTGGGGGGGGGAAACATTGTGTGATTCTTTCCTCAGGACTTCAGGATTTTCATAATTTCATTTTTACAATGGTTTCGGTCTTATCAAAGCCCCATCAGGCCTTATGTTCAGACGACTCTTACAAGTAATGACTTTGCTCAAAGTAACAAATAAGATGCGAGAACGGCAAGTCTGTTACTGAGATGTAATTCTGAAAATTGGTGTTCATAAAGATATTGTGTGTGAATGTCGGTGGATATACTGCAGCTTGTCTGTGGTCCATGCTGCCGTCCTGTTACCAGGGTAGTTTGGGTGTTATGAAGTGAGGTTGTATGAGGTACACATCCATAGTTGTTGTGTTACAGATGTCGGTAGCAGGCAGTTTTGGAGAAACAGTGCACCAGTTATTGATTTGCATACGAGGCAACCCCAGAATCACCTATAAGACTGTTCACCCACAGAGACGCTGAAGATGTCGCCATTGAGAAGCCTTTGGAGCAAACAGGCCAGCGACCTGGGGAAGCATTCAAACTGACGACCGTGGAAATGAAAACCACTCAACTCAAGACGCCGTTCTGTGACGTCCGTGAGCATGAAACACACACACTAGGTGAGCCACCAAATGTTTGTTTAGGCGTAAAGAACCAAATGAGTTTTTGTTTCTATGAGGTGATATCAGCGTTGAAGCAGAACACGATGCCAGCCCTGCTTCTTAAGCCAATTATTTTTCTTTTCTTTTGTCACGATCAACTATCTTCACATGACATTGCATCTGTCAGCGTGTAATGTTACTTATTTGAAAGACAAACTAAACTTTCCTGTTGCATGAGAAGAGCATGCAGTATGTGTTGAATCTTGACTCTCAGTTGAAATCTCTGCGTTACAGATTCATTTTACTGCCCTGACCTTGTTTCAGCGTAGCAGCAGGTCGCCAGGTCAATACAGGCTGTTGGCTTTAGCTTTTAAACCGCTCTCAAAATCATCTTTATTCAGTGATTGTACTTACTTATTGTCACGGAGATTACCACAGTTGCCTTGAGCTTTAGTGGGATTTTAGATTAAATGATTAAGTACGCAACAGTCCCAGTCGTATAGTAGTAGGGCTGGCCACTATCCTCCGACATGACATACGTACGTACAGTCAGTTGGGCACGGCCCCTAGAAAAGATGACTTTGTGGTAAAATTAGACACGCTTTGGTGTATTCACATGCAGGAATTCTTCATCTTTTTTTTAACTTACACAGAATTAGTTGTTTTTTTCTATTCATAAGATGAAAGGAAACATGTATGTATCTTTTAAGGATCATCCTCACCATGACATCACAACTTTACTGAGGCAATGCACCTCGGACAGCCGCTGCTGGTACAATTTTTTTTCTTAAAAATGTTCTACTTTAATCTCAAGGAATAACAGTTTTTTCCCCCAAGAAAATAACAACAAAAGAGTGATATAACACGCACAGACAGACAGACAGACACACACACACACACTACATCCCACACTGGCACCTGCACATTTTGCGGAAGCTGCCTATTAGCGTTATTCAACAAGACGGCTCGCTGTGTCATCTGCACAGTGATATCATTTAGTTAATATGGAGGTGGCTCAGGCACCACCTGCTTGTGTGTTTGAATTTCTGTTGAGGAACGGGAGCCAGGTGGGTTGCGGGGCTTCGTGGAGTTAGATCACGGCTCTCTCCAATTAGGATATCCATCGTTCTAATTGGGGGATACAGGGTCATTGCATGTAATTGGGCAAACTTTTCTGGCTCTTCCCCCTGGGGTTTGCACAGTTGCATGATGCCATTACCTCACAGACATTGTTTCAGAGGAAGATTCCTATGGGACTGAGGACGGAGAGAGGAAGCTGTATAAGTCACCTTACCACCTTCATCACAATCATGCCATTGGGCGGAGCCCTTCGTCTCCCCCCCCTCCCCAGGTACGGCCGACGCCCCCTCCCTCACCAAATGTAGCTGCAGTGGAATGCTGCACCGGCAGATAACGACCGAACCCCAGTGAGACGTGCTATGGAGCCCTTAATGAAAGAGTTGTGCCCCATTGAGCCCTGTAATGAATGTTCTGACATTGAAACCCCCCCGGGAGGGGGTGCGTAATTCCTTAAAACTAGCTTAAGCATTTCGACAGAGAAAATAGTCTGAAGTGAGTGGTGGAATCGATGTTCAGCTGTGTTTTCTTAATTGACTATTTCTATTGGGCTGATGTGGACGTAGCTGCTCTCCTCCGTCACACAGGCGTTGGAATGCCTTCGTTCCGGCTCTTTCTGCAGCCTTACCCGCTTTGACTGGTACCTGCTCGGCTTTCATTCCGACTAATGGAAACGTCAAATCCACTGTAGAAATGCTGGACGTCCCGTTCTCAACATGCGTGTGTGTGTGTGAAGCGGATTGCTGCCACGGCTTGTCGGAGACCCCCACCCTACACAAAGAGGCACATGGAGGGCTGTGCAGTATTAGAACTGATGGAGTTTTTGTGGATCTTGTCAATGATGTCTGTGAATACCAATTGAGCTGCAGCTAAAGAGACCGAGAGGAATTAATGAAAATGTCTCCCATTTCATGGCCACAGTGGTTCCCTGCTTCCACATGATCAAAAGGGAGAATCACTGGATGCCATCATCTAATTACGTATTTCAGGGTGTCTTTGCATGCATTGTACCTTTTAAGAGATTTTGCATGCCCGTTATGATCTTGCCCACACCCCCTCTCTCCCCCTTTCTTCTTCACTCCTCCTCTCCTTCCTTTCTCTTTCTCCCAGCAGTCATTTTCATTTCTCTCTGCCCTTGCCGTCTTTAATTCTTTCACCCCCTTTCCTTTTCATCCCTGTGTTCCCTTTTATACATTGGCCTCTCTTCACCATTCTGATTCATTTCTCCTCTGCTTCCCGTCCGCTTCATCGGCAGGTGGCGGAGCAGCTGGCCCACTATGTCCGGGTGTCAGACCCGGTAATCACAGAGGACGCGTTTGATGCGGCCGTACAGTTTGGCACAGTGCAGGGGGGCGATCCCACCCGGAGCCGAGCAGGACGACCTGTTTGCGTGCCCCCCCCGGTCGCCCCTCGGCACCCACTGGGACAAGAGCATCAAGCGATAACTACACTACCAACTCGTACCGCCGCCTCGTCAGTCTTAGGAGGAGGGGCAGGGGGGTGATTGTGGATGGGAAACAACACTAAAGTTGGTCGCAGTTCTAAAGAAAGTCCTATTAAGAGGACATTAATGGGTCTCCTCTGTGCAACATTAACTAGGCTTAGATATTCATCACCTCTACTCACCTCCGCCTGGAGCTCTGCACTGTCCTGGAGTGTGGCAGCTGTGGTCTGTGGTTTGCTCTGACTGGTTTCTACAGTCAGTTGTCAAAAAGGAATTTAAAAAAATGTAATGTAGGTCCCTATTTCACCGACCAAAGCAAATCTATTTTGCTATTGTAGTTGAATCTTTCAGTCCTTTAGACGATTCCCTGTCTGAGCAATAAATTCACAGTACTTTTTAAAAATGACTTTCCGCTAAAGCTACAAAAAATTGCCCTGTGATATGTGCGGAACATCCATCAAAGCAATAGTGCATCACAATAAAGGTTGAAAACGTCAGTTTGACAGCCAGCCATTGATCTGCATGTGCAACAACGCGCTCTTTTACAATTTAGACTTCTTTCATGTAGAAGCCAAAGAGAGGCTCTCTGTTGTCTGCAAAGCCAGAAAGGTAAATGCTGACGGACTAGTTGAATGGAGAACCACACACGGGGGTAATCACACATACTGGTACGTTGTGATGGTTCAATTCTCATGCTAATTATATCAATCAGTGTACAAAATGCCACTGCCTTTCAAAGAAGCACAAGCGCATGTGTGCACACCAGCCCTGGTAGTAAACATGAACTGCGCACCCACAATTATAACCCCCACTACCTGCCACAGCTCCATGTTTGCTGGGTAATCAGACAAAGATTGGATAATCCTGACAGAAATCCTTTTCATTCCCTCAGCCCCCTGCGAATTCTCATTTTGCTATATCATTTTCACTCAATACACCCAACAATCAAAGGCATTTCAAAGATTTCAAATCCCTACGCTCTTAATTCTGGCCTGTGGTGTAAACATTTTTTTTTTTTTTTTACTGTCTAGGAACTTCCTTCTAAACTTTCCAGATACACCAACGATGAAGTCACAGTCCCCTTGACTGCAGATGGGTGGCTTACAGCATAAATATGTATGTAAATGGAGAACACAGGTAACGGTATAGCTCTTGGGTATACCGATTTCACTCCCATGTCAGACCGAATTTCGGCAATCATGCAAAGCACTTATTTGGCTCTGAGCAAGGCAGCTCCCCAATCACTTTGTCTTCATCCATTCCCTGCAGGCGCCAGCAGTTTAAATCAGCATGCACATAGACATTTAATCGCAGACGGCGAAGCATGTTCACAAACGGGTTCCGGAAGGAAACGATAGCCACTGGCTGTCAGAATGATATTCTGATGGTTTTGTTTACCATCTGTGCTTTGAGTGCTTTGAGTTGACTCGTTATTTCTTCTATTTCTGGTCGGTTGTTTCCTGTGCTATCGCCTCTGTTTATAGGCTAATGGTGGAATGTGTGCTGCTGCCGCTGGGTGCGAAAGTGCGTTGCGATGATGCCCAGCTATGTTCTTTATGCTGATCATGCTTTATGCTGTTGCTAACCGATAACAGGAAGCTGAGGTCTAAAGCCCCTCATTACTCTGTAATGACCGTGCACACAGCTCCTCCTGCTTTCATTCATGTAGCTATCCTTCATTTACGACTGCTTGTTTTATTCATCTTGGTATGTGATGTTATTTCTGACCCTTTCACCATGTTTCATGTGGTACAGTTTGGAGTACAAGGATTTTTTTTTTCTTGAAGCAGTAAACACTTTGGATTCCTCCCGGTGAGGGATGTGGATTTCACCCATTTGATCTCAAAGCTTAGAGTGAGTTGCATATTTCATTCCATGTATCTTAACAGCTGTTTTCATTTCTCTTTGTAGACACAGAAAACCGAAGAGGGCCACTCTCTCGATACTTTCCACTCTTTCATCCAGCTCCTATCCTTGCACTTTGTAGACGTAAGAACCTCAGAGAGCTGAGCTCTCTTGAGATGATACATGGCTTTGTTGCATTTTCCGTATTTTGAAAGGAAAACAAGACCTTTTTCCTGCATGATCTGCGTTCCCTCCACCCAGAGAATGCCGTGGTGCGGCTGTGATGTCTAATGTTTTGCATTATTTTACTTCTGAACCGATACTGTGTCTGAGAAGGTCCTGCTGTACCTCCCTTAGGAAGGCCCACAGCGCAGCCCTGAGGAGGCCAGCAAGGACAAGAAGCTGGAACAGAGTAAGCCTGGAGGGCTGGCTGTGTGTGTGTGTGTGTTTGACGGGGGGTGCCTTCGTCTCTCTGGGGACTTTCTAAAAGGTCACTCAGACTTTTATAGACTTTTATCTTTTGATCTGTGATTCTCTGTTCAAAACGCCATTGAAGCTCCAGCATCTGCTTCCTCACTAACCCTTTAGAGTTTTTATTTAATGAGGCACTGGGTTCTTCACCTTTCCCCCTCACCTATCCACATTCTTTTTCTTTTGTCTTTGTACCTCCATCATCTCTTGCTTCCAAACAATCCTTCTCGTCCAATCAGATTTCCGGCCTTTCATTGTCTCCTGTTTCAAACACCCAAACATTTAAACCTTTTCGTATTTAGCTCCCCTTTGTACTGCTTTGATTTATCTCACCTCTTCATCTTCCCTTTCTGCCATCATTTCCGAGCACAGAGCCACAGAGAGTCCGTTAAATGACGAGGATGAGGGACACATCTGGCTTCCCTGCAAGAGGTAGACTTCTGGAAGAGCCGCTGTGCCAATCAGTTGGGCAGATCAGCCAGCAGCTGCAGAAGCCGGAGGGCAAGTTCTCAAAAAGTTCATTCGTACATTTATTTCAGGCTATACGCCCTAGGAATTTGTCAGCATGCATGTGCATTAAAATATACTCCACTACTGGTGTATTTCCTTCGTAGTTATGTGTAAATATGTGCAGCAAAAATGCCAGGTTTATAAGTGCTGCAATGTCCAATTCTTCACTTCACAGTGGTGACTTGTCTGAAAAACAGTCAACTATTGCATCGCTGCAGAGTGCTTTGCAGCATTGTGCAGCTTAGCATTGGTCACCAGAGGCACGCTGCAAACATCTGTTTGAATGGTTCCACATTAGTGTTGCTTTTCAATGTAATGCTTTTCTCTGTGTGCATGTGCGATGCCCATATGGCGCCATTTATATGCCTATATTTTGTCTGTAATTAATAGATGTGCAACTTCAAAGTCCCTTCCACGAGTAATCATGTTTTCCACAGATAAGTCAGTGGAGCGACAATAACAGACAACCCTCCGCTGTCACAATTGTCCTTTCAGCTGTAGATCTTCTCTGTAGTTGGATAGGTTTTTGTCTTGTTCTGATGAGGCGTGATCACCACTGAAGCCCACTCCCACTCATGCTTGGCGTTCAGACACCACAGTTGCAATACCCCGAGTCTGAATGCCGTGAATAAAGGGCCCTGCCGCTTTTTTCCGTTACCCGAGCCCTTTCATATCAATTGACAGCTCCGCAAGGGGAACATTTTTAACCTTAAATAATTATGTTCTGAACTCTCGTTGTTGCAATCATTTGCTGCCTTGTTACATGCCGTTTCCTTTCTTCTCTCTTCATTTTTTGTGTGTGTCCCTCTATTGTGCTCATCTTCATCCTCTTCCTCTCTGCGATCTCTCTCTCTCTCTCTCCCCCCCTCTGCCTGTCTCTCGCATTCTCATTCCTTTGATAATACATCAAGGCGTACTGACTCAAACAAAACATTTGTTATAATTACATTTCAAGTGTGGATGTGGCTTCAGTGATCTGAGCACTCTTGGGGTGATGCTACTGACGTGCCTTAAAACCTTTCTCCCCACTAAATGCGCACCTTTTCACCCACGCCAAAGGCGATGCAGAACGCTCCATTTCCAGTTGTGGCGATGGGAGTTAGTTGGCGTGTGAAGTGGAATTTCATTAATCGCTTTATACTCAGAATGAGAAGACTAATATGGCGTCACAACATCAGCGGCTCAGCCTAGAGCGTCGAACATCTGGTTGCATCTACGTCGTCTGAATCTTGTCACTTTTTCCGGTGTCGTAAAAAGTTTTTTACGCATTTATTATTTCTCATATCTGAGGTAGGAAGGTAAGCTATTTTACAGCCATTAAGCTACTTTGCTGGCAGATAAAAGCAGACTGTCTGCACCGAGTCGACCGTCTGTCTGCAGGCTCCGCTGCCGACCACTCACCTGCATATCTGTGTGTGTGTTTGTATGTTCGACAAAAAGTCATCTCAGCTCTTGCAGTGTAATTGTGTACGTTTTCACGTGCTCTCTCTGCAGTGGAGGGGCTTGGATACGTGTGGCGTTTTACATCCCAGTTTATGGTTAGGGGATCCCCCCTCCACCCCAAGTCTTCAAATACCTCCACCCGGAGTTTGACCAAACAACAGACATGGAAAATGTCTATTTTCCTCTTTGTCCTCTGAAGCAGCAGCAGCAGATCACTGATGTGGTTTTCATTTGTGACTGAGGTTTTTGGGCTAATATTTTCTAATCAGAGTCCATTTGTGTCATGGTAGCATGTATGGATGTCCCCCTCTTTTAATGTGTATGGGATGTGTTTTACACGCTGTGTGTGTGTGTGTGTGTGTGTGTGTGTGTGTGTGTGTGTGTGTGTGTGTGTGTGTGTGTGTGTGTGTGTGTGGCTTGCCGCTGCTCCTTCCCTCTCCTGCAGAGCCTCAACCCTTTTCTTCATTTGCTGCAGCTTTGCGTTTCGTCCCTTTCTTTCCTTCCCCGGCTATTCTCTTTTTTTCGTGCTGAGAACACAACGTCTGGTTTAATATCATTTTCCAATCACTGAAGCCTGCAGGGCAAGGACTTTTGACTGGGCGGTTTCGTTCCAGCTAATACCAAAGAGAGGGAGGGAGGGAATAATAACCCTAGCGGTTGATAATAGCTGCAGTGATCATTCTGCGGTCATTTGCCTCTGGTGCTCTCTGTAGGTGCAGCTGATGTCGTCTTTGTTTTCTTGCTCCCCGCTTCACGGAGCTACACAACTGTTACAAGCTGTCCAACACCCTTCGTCTCCTCCACGTCCATCTGAGATTCAACGCCATCTGGTTGCTTTTTGCAGAGGAGGAACCACTAAAGTGAGAGATGTGTAGTTGGGAGAGAGAAGGGAAGAAAGTCCAGTGGATGTGTACTTTTAGAGCGGAGACTGGCCTGTTGTAATGCACGTCTTTTTGAAGCGGTCCACATTCTGAGGAAAGTGATTATAAGAGAGCTTAAGGGAAATCACTAAGGAATTAAGATCCAGGGACATATGTTGTCTTCATCTTCACCCGCCCCCCCCCCTCCGCTACCCATCCTTTTTCTCAGAGAGTCGGACTAAGAAAGAAAAGAGGGAGGAAGAAGAAAAGATTATTAACTCATAAGCTGGTTAATGCTGTAGCACTCTCAACCTTCAGCTCAAATTAGAATTTCCGTCATTTACATATCAATTTAATTTCCTGTGTTTCGCTCTCCTGTTCTGTTCTCCCCCCCTCCCTCCCTCCCCTCCTTTATTAAATGCTCTATTTGCTTGCTGCTGCAGCCAGCTTGTACAACCAATTTAACTGGGCAGTGAGCACTCGCACGCGCACGGACGCCTGCAGAAAAAGGTTGATGTTTTGTCAAAGCAGATGCTGAGATACATGATGCACATGTACATGTACTTTGTGTCATCCTGCCCCACGTGTGCAAATTATTGCACACACACACACCGACATAGAGGCAGTGTGTTGGACACTCTGGCGCGTGTCTCACGAGAGGGACGCTATGGGGCCCGCTGTAGCTCTGTCAGGATTAAACCAGTGATCAGAGAAATGAAAGGGAAGCTGTCATTTCACATCATCCTCAATAATTACACCTTCTCCTTACTTCGCCTCACTTCCTCCTCTCCTATTACCTCCTGTGTGTGTGTATGTCTATGCTTGACTAGCACCCAGCACATCAAATCTTTATGAAATGTGCGCCTGCTTGGATTACTCACATTAACCCTTGTTTTTAAACTTTTGAATGAAACCACACCTGAGTTTGTTTGTGTAAGTGCGATAGGTGTGTGTTTTTCTTTTATATGCATGGGTGAGGATGAGGGGGTTGGGGTCCCATACAGATGTGCCTCGCCCTACTTGGCTCACATCTGTTGGTTGGACTTAACCTGCAGGGGATATATGCAACTAATTACTTCAGCGTGGGGCGTAAAGCTTATGAATGTGATCAAATATTCTGTTTGTGTAACTCTTTACACTTGGACCTCGGCCGTGAGTTTAAGGTCTGTCATTTTAAGTCTATGCCATATGTGACCTTATGCGAGAAAGTCAAGAGGTACCAGATCCAGGCTCTCAAAGGGTGAGCACTTTCCCTTATTTATCAATATATATATATATATATATATATATATATATATATATATATATATATTATTTCAATTTTCACTGGAATCACAGAGTACACACAGGGTGGATGTGAGACTGGGAAAAGCATTTAGTGTGGCTTATTACTCTTTTTCGCTAGTTTTCTTTTTAAGGCGGGTACATTGTGGTATTCTGTTGAACATATCTATAATTTCCTTCTTAGTTTGTGGCTTTCACATGTAGTTGGTGTGTTTTTAGTTTTAGTCATTTTAGCCAACCATAAGAGTCGACCGTATTGGTGCCAGAATCCACCCTGAGCCATAATACGTCTGTCTCTTCAGCTGACTTTTATAAAAACCAAAATGTGTGCGCTCGAGCGGGTAATGAATAAGCTAATACCTTCGTTTTGCTTGCTGTTTGTCCCCTTTTTCGTAGCTAATGACTTCGTACTGTAGGACTACTTCGTATCCGGGGTTTTGTATAACAGTGACTTGTTATTATAGCTCAGCACTTGAGCGTGTAATAAATGTAAATCTCAGTGTCTGTAACTTGGTCCCCCGTAGCTCATTATTTGTAGCAAGTGTGTGAGACCATGTTTGTTTTTGGTCCGCGTTGCTGCAGATGAGTAATGAGACCACCCGCCTGTGCTTCCGCAGCATCTCTCTGGACAAGATCTTTAAGGGCTTCGTGATCTCCACCAAGCTGTGTACCCACCGCTGCCGGGCCGGGAAGGAAATGTACCTGCACGGCTCACCGATTCCCTACAAGTAAGCTCAATATCAGCTGTGCATGGACTCGGGACTGGGAGGCCGGGAAATGTGGAATCATTTTGATTGAAAGCCGTGCAGATCCATACTGGTTTAAATGTACTACTTCGTTTTTCAGTAGGTTGTGTGGATTTATCTTTAATTCAATCAAATGTTCACACAAGCTACGAAATTATACATATAGTTGGAATGTCTGTCCAACATTAAGCCTTTTGTGATTCATGGTTAATCAATTTGGTTGGCTTGAGTTTAGATGTATTATCTTCTAGCAAGTTTATTTTCAGCCTAAAAAAAAAACTAATTCCAATACAGAATTCCATCTCATTTAATTTTTGTCTTTAAAAATTGAAGAAATTGAACATGTTTCAGTCAGATTTAGTGACCAAGTTGAAGATTACGTTCAAATTGTCCATTTTCAGCAATAACTGAAGACAGGCCTACAGCAACAGCTACTCATCAACAGAAGGTAAAATGTCCATATTATTCATTCAGACTTTGACCCAGTTACAAGTACACATGTTTAAAATAAAAGTGCATCTGTTCACAAGACTTGGAAACCAAATGGCCTTATTGGGTAGGCGGGGAATTTCTATTTGAATCTACAGTCAGACTTGTGTGTGCTGACTGTCCTTGGCCCTATTTTATGCAGACCAGTGCAGACTCTTTAATCTAGAAGCTCATAATAACCACACTGGGTTACAATGGGGATTTTAAATAGTTTAATGTGTTCCCAGCTGCCAAGCATTTTTGGTTCATCTTATTCAGTTTAACTTGCACATCCAGTCCAAGCTCAGATCAGTTCAGACGGCGTATAAAACCCATTAAGAACCTTTTTTATGCCGTTGATTTATTATTCCAATACTTTCCTAAGCTGTGTTTATTTCTTAAATAATTTGATTTTCCTGTTTTTCTCGCTGTGTTCTCTCTAAAAGTATGCAAGTGATCAAATCATCTATGAGATCAGTTTACCATCAGCACAGAAGGTGCCACGGGGAGTTAACTTGGCAGCCGAATTAGCCAGCTTCAAGTCATTCTCTAGAACTAATTTTAATTTAATTTACTACATGAGACACAGCCTTTTTCCCCTTATTGTAGAATAGAGTATGTTCCTGCTTGTAGAAACTTGACAGACAAAACGTTAATGGGAATTGTGATTAGAAGCCAAATTTACAGCAGATAAAAGTAAATCTTATCGCAATAGAAAAGGGAAAGCTTTGAGCTTGAGGTTATTGCTAGGACAAACCCACCAACATATTTCACAGCCTAGAAATTGGGTCTTTAATCTACATTTAAAACGATGTAGAATCCCACAGCCGCTGTCATCAACAATATGACATAAGCAGTTGTGATTTTTCTCCTTCTGCTGTTACACTCTGAGACGCATCACCTCGGTGGGAATTTGACAGTGGCAGAAATCACAGCAGTACCTCGCGACCGATGGTAATGCCTCAGTCCTCTCACGAAACAATATAATGTAACGGCTGAATGAGTAACAGACAAACATCTGCGCTTTTGTGGTACACTAGTTACCTTCCAGATATAAAATGAGGGGAAAATAATGTGCTTTTTAGTCGGAATCAGTGGGAGGAGACAAACATGAAACTATGCTCCAAGTTATTTGTTTCCCATCAGTTGTCAGCGAGTCAGAGGTTTACTGAACTATATTTTCACTTCATTACTATGATTGTCCTGAGAGAGAGTCTGAAGGGCTCCCAGTGTTTTCACTGGCTGACACACACACACACACACACACACACACACACTCTCCAGGCTCACCAATATCCCTTCGGGCCTCTTGCTGTCTGCACTGGCAATCGACCCCGTCCAACCAATTAAAGACAGCGATTAGTTCCTGATCAATGGCTCATGTTGGGGAGGGGCAGGATGAGGACAAGAGGACAGGAAGCGAGCTATTACCCAATGGGAGTTTTTTTTTTTGGTCTTCCTATCTAAAGCTCCTCACCCTAGGATGCCATTTAGAGTGCCAAATGCATCAGGTGCTCCTCCCATAGTGCACAAAATTATTTTTAAATAAGAAAACCAGTGAGCGTTGCATCACTTTGTTGGACAACCATCTAGTTTTATAAAGCTGTTGAGTATATTTACTCACTGTAACACTTTGGGGATATATTTTGTCGATGAATCATTGTGCAATACAAAAGTCCACAATGACGTAACTTATGTAATCATAAGGTGTTTGGTCACACCAGACCCGCACTCGTGTAAATGCAGGTTTTGGTTGATTTCGGATCGTCAATGAGGCATCAACCAACCAGGTTGTGTGGAACCAAAGCATATCAAGATAGGCAGATTCACAGGAATAATCAATACAATGGCTTATGGTGGTATGAGCCTCTTTAACGGAGATGCCGGTGAGATCTGTGTGAAAGGAATTTATGTTATTCAACGGTTTGCCTCAAACACTACATTACGTTACATGTCATTTAGCAGAAGCTTTTATCCAAAGCGATTTACAATAAGAGCATTTCAACCATAAGAATACAAACCCAAAAGAACAAGAAAATGCAATTTCATCAAGTAAGCCGAAATCAATGTCAGCTTTTCGTCACATCCCTGGTGTGTAAAGGACTTCTTTTTGAACACATGCAGAGATGTCATTATCGTCACATACCACTGTCTTTGGTTTGGAGCTGACACATTTTCAGAACGGCAAGACGGTTCTTTCCGATTCTGAATTATTTCCTTCGACATCAGCTGTCTTTATTTATGAGAGACCAAGAGACCTTGAACTGCCGGTGAAATATAGTCACCTTTTTGAAAAATTAAACAAATAACATTCCATGCTATCTCCCGTCGGTGCCTCCTTCATCAGCAGCTGGTGAAGGAGGGAGGGTGTTAAGTAAAGAGACACGGATCTGTTTTTCTCCCCTGCAGATATCACACCAGCGAGCCTGTCACCCACACAGCCAATATCACAGTCAGTCCACATACCGGGTTCAGTCACAGGGCAGGGAGGGAGAGCAGAAGGGAGGGAGGACAAAATGGAAAAGAGGAAGAAGAGGGGAGTCAACAAGGGTAAAGATGTGCGACTGTGTCGTGTCCTTGTGGTTCAAAGCTTTGGACCACACGTCATGTGCTTACGATGCCTTTCAGCCCCTCTTATATGAATATGAGAATATGAATGAGAGAGAGATTAAGATTGGAACGAAATGAAGAGCAGCGCAGTGGACTGGTGGCGGGTTAACTATACAGGAGGGCCAGAAAGGGATGCAGCATGAATAAGCATAATGAGACTTTTACACCCGAACACGCCTCAGTGGCTCTGACACGGCTGAACCCGTACACATTTACAGCTGTGAGAGGCGTGAACCAGGGAAATTGGTGCTGCGAGATGCAATGTCAACACAACAATACCGACAGCTTGGAAACCCATTTATTAGCCCCCCGAGGATCCCACCATCTCTGCATTGGTCACAGAATTAGGTATCAGCCGAGGAACGGGGCCTTCTCTGTGCTAAATGGAATAAGCTGCAGAAATGAAGTCACAAACGGAACGTCTACTGGCAAATTGTCACCAGCACCACAGAGGCCAGGCTGTAGCGTCAACTGCTCTGGAAGCGCTTCGTTTTGTCACATGTTTGTGTGGCGTTATATCGGGCACTCCCACGCAGTATTAAGTGCAATGAAGTGAGTCCGGGACACGTTGAAGCGGCAGAACAGGCTGTAATTGCAATTAAGTAAATCTTTTTGACGCGTGAATGACTGCTTTGTCGGAGCTGACATTTTTACTCTCTTTAGTCAGTTTTCATTAGGCCATAAAACGGTTAAAGAAACCTCATTGTGGGTTAAATAACTTCCTGGAGATGTAAATTGTATTTTCTTTTGAGAGATGTGGATAATCTGCAGCTGTGGTTGTGATTTGTACTCCCGCCCTTTTGCCATCGGAGCTTGAGAGACAACATCTTGAGGTCTCATCAGGCAACGTCTCGCCTTCATACGGTAATAAACCACTGGTTGAGCCTCCCTATCTGGCTCAAACTATTTTGTCTCCTCGTTTCCTCCCTTCGGCCTCACCTCCGTCTCCACTTTCCTTTTGTGTGTCTTCCACCTTGCCCACCTCCCCTCTTCTCCCTCGCGCTTTGTCTCCCTTACCTACCTCCTCCCGCTCTCCGCCTCTCACTCAACGGCCAATCCGACCGATTGATGACCGATCAAAGTGGAGACGTGGCCACTGGCCTCTCTGCTCTTGTGCAACCTCTCCTTTACTGTAACGTTTATTTAAGGCTACACATTGTGTGTGTGAAGCCACACGGTGAACAGTTTATTTGGTTTGTAAAACCCTCGGGGTGTTGGCTGATATAGCTTGTTTCTACGTGCACTTGGCAGGGGTGTGTGTGTGTGTGTGTGTGCGCACACGAGTGAGCTGCCTAATCTATCTTTTATGTGACTGTAAGTGTTGTGTGAGCGTGGCGTGATGACACATGATTAATGGAAGGTTGACCACAGTCTGCTCTGCCTCCTCTCTGTCCTCCTGGTGGCCCCTCTGTTACTCTCCCTCCCTCTCCGCGCTGTTGTCTCCATCGCTGTCCCTTTCGCTTTACACCCTCTGCATCGCTTCTCCTTTTTCTCCGAGACCACAGCCGAGCCCCCGCCTGTTCACGGTGGTGTTTGCACGCGCCTCCAAGCAAGACACTCAGAGAAAAAACAGTCGTGCGCACGCGCCTCTCTCTGTCTTCATTTAATGTTTGGCTCTATTACATAGGGATATTTTCCTAGACAATGCCTCAAAAGGCGCTGAGCCAGACAGGTCGAATGAGAGGGGAGGGGAAGGGGAGCGGGGGGGGGGTGTCTCCGTCCCTCATCACATGGAAGTACTGGCACTCCCACTGACTGAGATGAATGCATTTAATATATCTCCCCTTTGAAGCGCTGATGACCTCCCGATATGGCTCTCTGTCTCTCTATCGCAGGAGGCTTTTATATTTTTACTCTGGCCGTGAAATGTGCAGGAAGATATCTGAAGGGATTCTGAC